CCCTACAGGTATCATTGACCAGCTATTTATAGTAACTTTTTGATACAAACATTGGGATCCGTGTACGATTCTTTTAGAAAAGCTACTTTCGATGGGCGGCCGAATCAGTGGGCCCTACATGAATGATGAGAAATATTGGAGATTGTGACAGGGGTGTGTAGGCGCCTTGTCACCTGCTTTAGGAGGTGACGAGCTCGGTTCATGTTTACCTCGGTTCGGATTGACCTCGGCGAGAAGGGATCACTTCGATCTTCTGGGGTCGTACCGGTTTATTGTGCGAACCGGGATGACTTTAAATTACATCGGTATCCGAGTAAAATTTGCTTATGGTGCTGTTTTGGGTCCTTAATTACGATTTACCGAGTCGGATGATAACAGAGAGGCCCCCAATATCGGCGGGCATACGAAGTGATGGCCGTTGGTATTGCCAAACAACTAGAGGCTTCGAATCGGTAAGAATTTGGTAGCTGGGTGTTCTTTGTCTTCGGTATTCCGATGTGACTGAGGTTTACCGGAGTTAATCGTTGGTTCCGGAGTAAAAACTAGGTTCCGAGTTGGAAACACTTGGTAAAATTCGGGCAAATCATGGGCGGTTATAGAGGAGACTTGAAAAGACGCAACAGTCGGACGTAGTTAATGTTGAGTATGAAGAGTCGCGCCGTTATAGCTTTACACAGTAACGACTACTTTAATAAAATAATGGCCACTTGTTTGCACCGTTTGAGAAAGAAGGGTCGTGTCAATTACACGTGCCGTCGATAGAGAAGGTTAACGGTCTGAAATTAGGGCTATAAATAGGGCGTTGAGATTTCTGATAAACTTTTCTTCACTTTTGCTTTCATACTTGAGTTCTTTTGCTTATTGATTCTTCCGTCACATAATCCTTGCAAATTTGAGAGTTACCCCTTGTGCGATTCTCTGTGCGCCGTTTGCTCGTTGATTCTTTGGTAAGTTTCACCTTTGATTTGTACTCGTTTCTTTATTACGCATTTCCTTTTGTTGTGTCGTCAATGGCGTCGAAAGGAAAGGGTAAGGCGGTAGCGAGTTCTTCGAGTACCGAGTCGGTTCCCTTGGAGGTGTATCATGACTCGCAGCTGGTTGAATTAGCCTTTGAGTATTATCGGTGGGATCCGATGTTGGTGGGGCATTTGGATATTAAGCCCGATGACGAAGATGGTGATTGGGTGGTCGAAGAGAACGCGGCCGATATCGAGGTGCCTCACTGGAAGAGACGGTAAGGACGTGGCCTGATCCTGTGATTGATTTTGAAGGTGAGCCAAGCATTTTGACCGATGCCGATGTAGTAATGCTTCGAGAGCAGATTCGGATCCCACCCTCGGTGAAGATTTTTGCACCATATCCGGGGGAAAGAATAACCAGTCCTCCTCCTGGTTGTGTTGGAGTTTTCATCGAGAGTCTGAGGTCGGGATTAAGATTCCCTTTGCCGAATTTGATCACGGAATACCTCTGGAGTTGGGGGTTACCGCTGTGTCAGATTACCCCTAATAGTTGGAAGAAGATAATCGGTTTGATGGTGCTACTGCACGAGCGGGGTGAGGGGTTGCTATTGTGTGAGGAAATAAGGAGCATCTTTGCATTTAAGAAGAGTCCGATGAGACATGTTGCGGAATATTCGTGCTGTTTCTTTGCCGGAGCGAAACCACAACATGGCTTAAAAGTCGGTGAGATAATAACCGATATTCCAGAAACCCTCCATGGGTTCCAAGAAGAGTGGTTATGGATTGGGGGAGAGTGGCAATCCGAGAGCTTTTTCCATGAACCTCGGATTGACGGGATGACGATTCCGATGTTAATTCATTCCAGAGCAAGTGAGTTTATTTCATTTTTCAATTCGGATATATCTTTCTGATTTCGTTTTGTTCTGTGTACTAACAGGTCGGAACTTTTGCCCTTTGTAGAAAAAGAGACCAAGCAGAAGGAGCCGAAGTTGAGTCCCGAGTTCGGTGGGAAATTAATTACACTTGCCGGCTTAGATAAGGAGGTACGAGATTATCGCAAGCTTGTGGTGGATTCAAAGCTTGAAGCTGCTGGTTTGTCTCCTGGAGTCTCTACTGTAAAATTTGACCCCGATAAGGGATTTTCAATAGCTGACGATTTAATCAACACTTCTATATATGTAAAATAGTCGTCGATAACCCTGATTAGTTTACGCTTAAATGCAGTATACTATCCGCTCCTTGGATTCTTGGGCTACAATACTGTCAAGGAGGCTAAAGAGTTCAGGCGTAAGTACCCCAACAAGGACCTGCAATCCAAGTTTGGCAAAAGTCGAGATTTGCGTTTAAACAACGTCATGAGGATGGATTTAGTTCGCGCCTTGGTGAAGAGGACAGCTGGTCAGAAGAATACTAGCAAATCGACCAAAGTGGGGTCAAGTGCGACCTCGGCTGCTGTTCCGGAGAGCCCGAAGTATCTAAAAGAGGTGACAACTACCGAGGTGCCGACAGTTGTGAATGCGGCTGCAATCAATCAAGCGGAGCCTGAATCTAATGTGGTGGGAACCGAGGTGGTTGTAGTTGAGCCGCCGCACTCCGGAGCACGTGAAGATGAACCAGAGAAGCTACCATCTCCTTCGAGGTCGGTGGAGTCCGCTCAACTGGAGAGAAGGAGGAAGAGGAAACTGGTGAAGAGGTCTGATGTGGGGGCCTCTTCTGGAGCAGAGAAGAGGTCAAAGAAGAAGCACGACTCCAGTCGTAGATCTGGTGAAAAGAGGATTGATGAGGCGCCTCTATTTGAGAAATCATTCTTATCGATTAATGAAGAAAGGGCTGCCAAAGTGAAGGTGCCCGAAGGTGTTGTGGAGGAGTGGTTCACTACATTCCAATCTGTTAAGTCTCCGCACATGTCCTCGAGAATCGATATGCCGGAGAATGCGAAAAGTGCAGCAAGGGTGCCCTTGATGGTATGGGACCCGAAGTCCGAGGTGGGCGTCTCTTCTCTGTCAAGCGTTGACAGGCTAAGTTACACTAAGGCGTGTTTGGGCCGAGCCTTGGTGAGTTTGGTAGCGGCCGAGGA